ACTTTCACTGCCATACACTACACATATCTCTAATTAGATGCCTATTGAGAAGAATGCGACCAGACCGAATATGTGAATATTTCCTGCTTTTAATAGACGCCGCAAGACCAGTTCCTCGTGTATCGACAAATATAGCATCCACACGTGTAGCGCAGGCGTATCTAGTATGCTGGGTAGCGTATACTACGTTGTACTACGGTATGTACTTAGTGATCTGTTAGTAGGTGGTCTGGGTGCCTACTTAGATAGAGCGATTTACATATATGTAGTGGAGTGTGGGCGGAACTGCATGGCTTGCGAGCAGGGGTACCATGTACATGCCTGTCTCAGATACCCACAGTAGTGGATCCAGATAAGCCAATGAGAAATAATCGAATAATAATCAACTCTTGATCAATCGCAGAACCGATTCCGGGCTTATGCCACCATAATTATCTATATACACTACATCTGCCAAGCCCATGCTCATTTACCAAATCAAGAGAGAAAGAGACTAGACCCAGACCCGGGAGGCAGCACAGAAGCCAGCAGACACAGCCGCAACAGTTTACATCACACCAATCCTAATCTAACCCAATCCTAACCCCAACTATCTAAGGGCTTCAATCATCCATCACCCCCCTAGACTCGATCTGTGAGGGGTTCCTAGACAGGTCTCGTGTCAGCACAGTGAGCGAGCGCCGAGCACTGAGCACTGAGCACTGACCGAGGCGGTGACGTGTTGATGCCAGCCGACCTGTCAAGCCACACACACACACACATACACATCCCACATACATTCCACCATCAATCGAAGGGGAGTCTGTCTGTCTGCCTGTCTGTGTCTGTGTCTGTGTCTGCGCCTGTGCCTTACTTATTCATTGTCGTATGTTGATCACCCATCCCGTATCCTATTCCCCGGCACCCCACGAGTCCACATCACCCTGCCGTCAGACTACCGCCAGACTACTACTACCTACCGCCTACCGCTTACCGGCCCTGCTTTGGTTGGCCATACTCGGTCTCTGATCCGTCTCTGGCCCGTCTCTAATCGTTTGCCAGTACCCTAGAAGATAGACTAGGGTCATTTCTTCTCCGTCTCCGGGGCACCGTCACCATCATCGCTATCATTATTACCATCATCTCTCTTTTGCCACTACCCTGACACGACCGGTAATACTGCTGGTGATACTACTGGTGGCCCTCTTCTGACCCTTTCTTTGCCTTCCATTCTTCCCTTCCTTTCCTAGAGGAAGATCCAATCACACAGGTATCAAGAATATTTAGACGTGGTCGTGATCGTGGGTATCTATCACGACACAAACCAAGGCAAGTAAATAATTAGTGTGGTGATACCATACCCCTTATACATATCCAACCCATACTACCGACGTATCTTCCCTTTCTCTACGTCTCCACCTCTTCCACGCCGCAAACTTTAACACCTTGGTTGTTGGCTATCATATCTCGTATATACTCTGCTCTACTGCCTTTGGCCATGACCATCCATATGCGCATATCACCACTCACTATTTGTCGGAACAGTGAATCCATTGACCCAGACAATTCTTAATTGTGTATTCAGAAGGAGTGTTATCCTCCTCAACATTTTTCTTATTAAAAGTCACCCGCTTTATATGACTGGTTAGCTCCGAGGTCTAAATTCGAGCACAGTCCTTTCTATATACTTCCATACACCTGTCATTCGTTTCACCCTCGTTCTCGCTTTTCTGGCGACTATTGGGGCTCACGTCAAAGGAACAGGTTAGCGCCCGTTACAATTCCAGGGGGTTTCTCGTTGCCACTTGGTGCCGATTCCAGGAAGTGTGAATCCCAAGAACAGGCGCCATGATGAAGGTCGTACCACAACCCCAGCCTAGGCTGTCCAGAAACGAGCCCCCGTCGACGAGAACAGCTCTTCCTTCGCGGCCCACCATATCAAGAGACCATGGTGGTCGCCCTTCCGAGCGTGTCGCCTTTAGCAACACCTCACCCGTGGGGTCGACAAGCCCCGCAGCCCAGAGCATAGGGGTATCTTCAGGAGATCCAAGTCCATCATTGAACGGATCTGAGAGGGTATATTCTAAAAGCCCTTCTCCATTTGACGTAAGCCGTCAAGACACTCCCGTAGTCACAAGCCCGTCCCCAGCCAGTGCCAATCAGGGTGGCCAAGTGTGCAGGTATGTACAATTAATACGCTGATACCCCATTGGTGATTAATCAAGAGTAGTAATTGCGGGACCACAAGAACGCCGTTGTGGAGACGTTCGCCGCAAGGTGCTACGATATGTAACGCTTGTGGATTATATCTAAAGGCACGAAATTCCGCTCGTCCAACCAATCTGAAGCGCCCTCCTTCCATAGTTACGACAACGCAGTCTAAAGTTGGAGATAAAACCACACCAGCATCATGTTCGCAGGGAAGCATGGCCAATTTGCCAGGCGCTACCTATGTAGCGGCAGATCAGACTCCGTCAGGGTCATGTCCAGGTGGTGGGCGATGTAATGGCACTGGTGGTGCCGAAGGATGCAGTGGTTGTCCCGCCTACAATAACAGGATCGCGAAGAGCGCCCAACTCCAAAATCAGCTTCCCAGCTCGAAGGTAGATAGCATGACCGGAGAGGGCCCGACGCCAATTGATATCAACGCGCAGGAGAATAAGGGGCATGCTCAGAATACCACGGTAGTAATAGCGTGCCAAAACTGTGGGACAACCATAACTCCTTTGTGGCGCCGCGACGAAGCTGGCCACACAATATGTAACGCGTGCGGTAAGCCAAAACTCGCAAAGTTGATAGGTTATACGCTAAACTTTTTAGGATTATACTACAAGCTCCACGGCGTCCATCGGCCCGTAACAATGAAAAAGGCAGTGATTAAGCGAAGAAAACGAGTTATACCAGCAAGTCAAGAGGAGGTCTCGGCAGATACAGAAGACGCGATGGTTATAGACTCAGTAGAGCAGCAAAGTCAGTATGCGGGCTCCGAGATGGAGCGGGGTAGTATGAACGAAGACGGTTCCGTGAATCTCGGACTGCGGCGCAAAACCGATCATCATCTGACCCTCCTTCCTGAGCCCATGTATTCTGGCCAGGGATCCACACCGATCCCGTCCACAGACCCCATGGTGTACCATACATCTCAGACGTTGCAACCCCTCGGTGGCCGCGAGGCGATGAACGACGACAACAGGTTACCGCCATTAACGTCCATCATGAGCGATCGACAATCATCTATCTCGCCTGCTTCATTCCTCGACCCATCGAGTCGGAAACGATCATTCTCAGCAACAGATTCCGATGCCCCAAGTAGCGAGTTCAATCCCGAAAATACTAAAAGACTATCTTCGATTAAATCCATATTAAATCCAACCAGCGGATCGAGCCCGAATTTTGGCTCTGTGATGGATGATGCATCAGAGGTGTTACGACTGCGTTCCCCGGCAAGTACGTTCATGTCAGCCCCTAGCCCTGGCGGGTTTTCTATTACGTCAAGTATGATTCCAAGCATGCGTTCACGAGAGACGACAGCAGAGAGCGAAAGGTCCAAGGCAGATAGACGGGCTGCTCTGCAACACGAAGCAGAACGTATGCGCGAGTTACTTGCGGCCAAGGAAAGGGAGTTGGCAGCACTTGAAGATTAACCTTGGAATATGCTTTCGTTACGATTTAGAGGCCTCTTTTTTGTTTATCCATGTTTAACGTCATGGGGTCTCACGAAAAGGACAAGAGGCGCATAAATATCCAGAAGATAATGATTGTCCACATAGACGTAATGGCGGAGGTTATGTCACTTTCACTCATGAGTAACGGCATATTCAGCGTGGGCAAACTGTGCATACACCGGCGTACATGGACTGCGTTTACTTGGAGGGCACGGAAGCTCAAGGAATCAGGGCGGGTATCAGGGTTGTCTGAAATATGTATACGCTAAGGAATGCAAAGGAAATGGAAACGATGTTATGTTCAGTAGTGTTATACGGAAGCAGTTCAATGATGTTGTTGGGGCCTGAATTTCAATATATTCATTTACACTTGACCTTCAAAACTTACATAAACCATTTTCTTAGTAGGTTAAGTAGGTACTCATGCGGATGTTCAAGTAGGGTCCCTGAAAAAGATAGGATATCATATCTAACAAACTACCACGGTTTTAGCCGTGGGTACATAGAGCAATACTAAAGCTAAGCACTTTTTGTTGCTCAAGTAGCATTGAGGGCGCAGAGCCGCGATTGTCTTCCGTGGCACATGCGTTTCTTGTGTTTTGAATGCCGCCCGTGTTAGACACCATGTTATCTATACACAACGTGCTTGTATAAATATATACACTTTGATAAGGCTGGAACCTTAAAAACTCCGGTGTGTGTCTTGCACCACCATAGTATATTGAATGTCCATGAGAACTATGTCACTACCTACCTACTATGTAGGTACCTAGGTAGGTTGAGGAAGACCCACCTGGTGGGTTTGGTGGATCAGAGAAGCTGGGGAGATCCTTGGTGGCTCTACTACACTACTAGTATAGTTCTCCGACAAACTATTTGAGCTCCCAAGATGCCAGCCAGAATGTAACATGATTCCCGTAGAGAGGTATTATTTATTTATATAGAGGCTTGTGGTTAGGCATAGGTATCTCTGAAGGTAACATGCATCGTAGTGTACGTGAATACTTGGAAGGCCGGGGACGTGGAAAAATAGAGAGAGACTTCAGGGGTTGAAACTACAACATTTTTATTTTTGTATTCATGTAGTTATCTTTTTCAACAGTTCAACCCGGAAACAACCATCGATTATCTATCTATCAATCGATAGTTTATCAACAATTTATCAAATATATCAACCGTCGATTAACCATTGATCAAGTGTTGAAAACAATTTAAACGTTGAAATAAAATTAAAACTTTCGTTCACGTATTTACTGAGCGCAGCTAAGTTTGGTACGGTAGTACACTACACCATGTGGACTATAAGAGTATACATGCAGCCCATTTTTCCAACAAATCAGCAAGCCGATTGCAAGAGGTGGTGTAGTATAATGGTTAGTACAATTCGTTGTGGCTTGGATTAAATAAAACCGTCTTCAATGAATCCCGAATAGATCCAGGTTCGATTCCTGGCACCGTCAAACGATTTGTTTCGTTTTTCTTCTTCTTCTTTTCTTTCTTTCTCTTCTTTCTTTCTCTTCTGATTGGTTTAATCCAGCAATATATATATAGCTGGGAAACCACTTCTTTTCTTTCCTCTGATGGAACGGGAGTAATACAGATCAATGTGCACAGAGTATTATTGTTGGCACCCTATTATTTAGCTGTGGTAATAATTAAATGATGTTCTAACATATCTTAGTTAACAGAGAGAGTGTATGCAGTAATAAATTCAAAACAAAAGACGGTTTTGTATTTTCTGCGTTAAGGGTTGGAAGGAGGAGAGGCGAGCTGAGTGTTAAAGCCTTGCTTGCTTGCATATGTATGTACATGAGGGATCGACCAACCCGATAATTCTTGACGGGAATTCCCACTGTACTTAATCATTAGAATTAAGGTAGTTGATATGTACCGCAGGGGTGAAATAACGGTCACAAACTCTCAGCAACTATTGCAGCAATGATGTGGTAGTTATTGATGCTGTTCAAGTGCCTACATAGAGATTATTAGCTATCAACCTCTGCTGGTTTATTCTTATACAATACACTATCTTCGCCTTCCCTTCGCCGCCAAAATTTTGGGTTACACAGGATATGTTAATTTACATTTACAGCTGGCAAAGCGAGCGTAAACATGTTAGCCCGGCGATCGTTTGTATGAAAATCGCCTGCTCTCTTTACTCCTATCGGAGCTGAGCCGAGCAAGGAAGACTATTCTTCCAAATACGTGTCCGATTCCCGAGCCGAGTATCCCCTCTTTCGCCGTTTTACTTGGAAACACCTTTATTCCGAACCCTTGCTAACTTATCAGCCTCTTAATCTCCCAAATAACCCCCCCTAGAACCTTGTAAACTCTAGATTACAAACGCGAGTGGTAATCGTGCCTTTACGCAATACAAGACAGAATCGAATTTGGGAGGAGAGGCGAGTCCTCTCCGGTATGTGAAGGGATTAAACCATTAAACCTGCTCGGCGCCCCAGCCCTGGTCGGCCTCGCGCATGTTCGCAGGCGGCTCGATCGACGGCACGAATTCTAGAGCAGCGTATGCAATACCCGTTAATCCGATTATGGAACCCGCTACGTAGCGTGTCCAGTGGTCGGAGAGCAAAATGGAACCGATGAAGATGTAGACTACAGGCTGTTAGTTTAACTTGGCTCAACGATAATAAAAACTACTATGAACATTTCTCGAGATGATGAACTATAGCTTTGGAGCCAATAGGGATGGGGAGACACATACAGAGTCCACGGCCGATGAAGGAGAACATGAAGGACGCGTAGCGCGATACCTGAGGCGGGATCTGGAATTCGAGGAGCCCAACGAAGGCGCCAAAGATTATGACGTATACGCCGATGACGATCGATTGAATGCTGGCATGGAAGAATTGAGATATGCCACCTAGGATCATTATCACACCTACGACGAGGTTGACGATTCGGCTGTGATGCGAGTAGTGTTAGCGCAAATGGGCCCATTCAATGAATAAATCTACCACAGACACTCCCACGTCATCGTGTGTATGATGGGGATGCGACGCGCTCGTCGCACTAGAGCTTGAATACGTACAAAGAGTCAGAGAAGTCCATGTTTTCTTTCGTATATGTATCTTTTCTTTCGAGACTGATATGACGTTGTAGCTATGATGCTCGTCCTGGGTGTGTTGATGTAATTTGAATATAGCAAGAAGGTACGCTCAGTCTGAAGAGGACAATAGATGCCTTCAGGCTACTGCGATTAGAATGGATGGATCGAGTATCGGTCTTGCGGATTATGGGTAGAATAGAGGATGATGAAAAGACTTTGCTGTCGACTAGGCAGATGCTTTTGGGAGCTTGTTGTTTCGTTGGGAGTGAGAGAAAGAGGCTAGCTGGAGCCAAAGATCCAAGCTCCTAGCAGAGCTTCATAACCTGTGACAGGGGCTACACTAGAACGGGGGCCTTGTCGTCATCTCTTACACACACTACCATATTATGTACCTATGTACTTTAGGACTACTTTGGGGCTTAATGGAAATGCCTGTGAGAAGCCACAGTGATTGTCGATGCAAGCCACAAAATACTTAGTACACCCGCCACAATTGAAGGTCGTAAGTACCTCCCTAGTACACTAGACAACAGGTAATCAAAGCTCTCTAACCTTAGCAGAAATCGCGAGTAATTTCCTCCTCAAGTTGTTCTCAGCTTTTTCCCTCTCCTGTTTTTCTCTACTTACTCGTTCGAATGAAGTCCACATCACCGTTCCTCTAACCTCCACGCGACCCACGCAGAAACCAATACTTATTCGCTAATTGTTAATCATCCTCCTCATCGACTGTGCTAGCACCCATCGCACAGTCACGTTGTCATTACCCCTCGTTTCTTCTACACTACTTTATGCAACTAGAGTTTCCCAAGAGCACCAAACAAACTCAGCCGCGAACCACTTCCCAATCTTTTCAATCCTCCGATCAATATGGCCCCCAGCGCTATCATGCGAGTGGCTCCATCCCCAGCCCTCAGCAACAGCGGGATCCTCGTAGCATGTCGTCACAATCTCCCACCGATGCCGACTCGCTCACCTCTCGCGACCACGGTGTCCACCCAAATTTTCTCGAAGAACGACTGCGCCGACTGAGTACCCACGACCAGTCGCCGCCTACCGGACGGCTGGCACTCGCCGGCCAACGAATTGTTGAGTATGAGAATGCTTTGACACCCTCGGCTCCCAGACAAGCCCTAGGCTTCAAGGTCATTAAGCGTGCCGGCAACGACACGGCTCGAGTTAACCTCGATGACTTCCCAAATGGTATGTGCTTGCCTACACGCTTCTACGGCCGCTACCATTCTAACCTAACAATACAGAGATCCTAACCCATATTCTCTCTCACTTACACCCCGACTCGCACGCCTCCGTGGCCTTGGTATCCAAACGATTCTACTCCTTGGTCACTACACCTCACGCATGGCGCATGGCTTTTCAACGCTTCTTCCCTGCTCAAGATGCTTTGGTTCATACGAATAAGCCACTGGGGGTTGCATGGGGCGAAGAGGACGATGATACGGTTCGGTCTGAAGTCCGGGTTTTCGCTCGCCTGACTCCGCATGCCTCTTGGCGCAGCGAATACCTTTTGAGAACCCGCCTTCTCCGCAGCCTTTCTAGAGGAAAGCCCGGGGCGAATTCGGGAGGGGTCGGCACGTCTGCACGTTCTAGCCAGGCTGGCAAGAAGGCTACCGCGGTTTTAACCTACAACACAAAGGTCCCCTCTATCATCACTCATCTCCACGCTACATTCAAGCCCAATGGCAAGAAACCACCACGAGTGATCCATGGCGCTGCCGACTTAGGTGTTGTTAGCGCGAGTGACCCCTCGGTCGGGAAGGTTGAGAAATGGGGCCTAGATGACCCTTTCGCTTTTGCTCAGCTAGACGAGGTCATGCCCCAACTTATACCTTACGGTATGGGAGAAGGACCTGCGGCCATGCCTAACGTTATGGATGTAAGCCAACCTTACGGCCTCGTTGGTGGCGAAGGGTTCCCAGGTGGCCGTGTGTTCTTCCGTCCAACTGGAGAGTACAGAGGGAAATACCTCGGTCAAGAAACTGGCTTAGTTGAAGCCCATCCCGATATCCCCAAGATTCCTGAGCTCTCAGAGGGTATCTGCTCCGTATGGATTGCCAAGTCGTCTTCAGTGCCTACCATCGCCCAGTCTATGGTCGGTATCATGACTGGATCATCTCTGGGAGTTGTAACTGCATATGCGCTCGGCTATGATCCTTCTGGTCCACGATACACTCCTGGTGAAATAAGCGCCCGTTGGGTGTTGAGCCCTGGCGTGCCTATTATCTCGCTCAAGATTGATGATAGCTATAGTCAGAAGAGGAAAGCTTTGAACCGTGTTTGGGCCGTCGCTCTCAATGCCTTGGGCGAAGTCTACTACTTAACCCAAACTCCAAGTCCTCCCGCCAGCAAGACCAAAGCCGACGATAATACCAGGCTTGCTTGGCATACCGGTCGCTCAACTTATTGGTACCTTGTAGAAGCTACTCGTCGCCAGGCGCGTCCTGACGACTCTGGAAGAAACGCTGTTCGGGGAAGCTACTCTCCGAGGTCTCCTTCCGACGCTATGAGCTTAAAGAAGGATCAAATGATCGCCGAGGCGCGAGAGATCGAGAAATTCCTTCGTTATAAGCCTGCGCATTTCCGGAAGGTTTGCTACGGTTGGGACATGCGTCGAAGACTAGAAGTCGACTTCGCTCGCGACGACGAACTTGGTGCAGGGGAAAGCTTCTTCGTAATTGATTGCGCCTTGAATGACGATGCAACCTGGGCTATGAAACGCTTCACACGAATTATTGTAAATCAACCCCAACTTAGTACAACGCATCCGCAAGTTATGGAATCCCCATTAGAAACAGTACCGCAGCAGTCTATATTCGGCGGCCATAGTTTTGGATCCGCCTCTCCGGACTCTTCAAATTTTCTGCTTAAACAAGCCTTATCTTCTTCGGGTAAGCAGTCGCCATCACCGATCTCTACCACCAAGGCGCTAGATGACTGGGTCGAGACGAAATTCTTCTCGAAAGAGATGGGCAATGTAACGATTACCGCAAGTGCCGTTGATACGTCACTTATGGCATTGGTTACATCGTTTGAGGATCCTTTGAAAGATGCTTCCAGTCCCTCAGCTAGCAGTCCTGCAACTCCATCTGGACAGTCGCCTACAGACATCCCTGGCCGAAGAGCGAGGTTGATTAGTTTGGGCTCCAACACAGGGAAAGTAGCACTTTGGAACATGCGAGCCGGACATACAGGCGATGGCATCTTCCCGGTTCGTGTTATTGAGACAGAATCGCCTGAGATTTCGTGCCTAGCTCTCTCGGCTCTCTACTTAGTCCACGGCGGAAGTGATGGACTAGTTCAGGCCTGGGATCCCCTAGCTTCCACTTTGGATCCGGTTCGCACATTGAACTCTCGTTCGCCTGGTCGTATGCCTCGCCATCT